TCAATTTGTTACTCTCCTGATGGTACTACATTAGCATCTGGTAGTCACGATAACTCTATCCGTTTATGGGATGTTAAGACAGGATAATAAAAAGCCAAATTAGCTGGCCATTCATCAACAATCTATTCAGTCAATTTCTCACCTGATGGAAATACATTAGCTTCTGGTAGTGATGATAACTCTATACGTCTTTGGAATGTAAAAACATAAAAGGAAATACTTCAATAAGATAGTAACTATAAAGATTTGCTTGCCTAGTTTAACATACCACTTCAGGATAGCTCCTTATTGGCAAATGGTATTTATTATTAATTATTATTTAGTTAATCCTGATCGTACAATACTTAGAATATGCTAGAATCCTATTTTAGAAGCATCAGGAACACTTATCTTATAAGGACAATTCATGAATTATTTAGGGATAAATTTAAAACCATTGTTTAAATCAAAAGGAAGTTTCTTTTTAGAAGACTTAAAGCAAAAGAAGTGAATTTGAATATCCATTAAAACATTACAATTACAATTTTAATCATTTTCTTATAATTATTTTGGATAATATGTTTTTTTTGTTTCAATTCTTGATCTTCAAATTCATAATATTGATAAGAACATATTTTTCAATTCCATTTCAAGCCATTTTAGTTAAATGCTATTTAAATATATAAATTAATATTTATAGCTGTACAATACATTATATAATTTATACTCCAAACAGAGTACACAGGTTAAGTCTTAAAATGATAATTTAGATTTTTTAGTATATAAAAAAGGAAAAGATAAACTTAATCCTAGAAATAATCTAAAATATAACATTAAAATTACTCTCTCTATTCTTGATAATATTTTCATAATCTGTAATTATTATTTTCAATCAACATGAAAAGTATTAGATAAAAAAAGACTGAAAATATATATTAATCATCAATGAGTATAATATACCTTAAAAGGATCAAAATTTAAGGAGATAATTATTATATCTTCCCCAAAAACCCATCTAATAATCTTAAATGTTAATTAACTCAAGCTCTATGTGGATTCTTACATAAATTCAAAGGAGCTACTTTCAACTATTACTAGTTATTATTTTCAAATGAGATCATCAACTATCAACTTGTACAATTTTAAAATTAAATTAATTCGTTATGAAATAAAGAAATTACCCTAAATTGTTATTGTTATATTCATAAACATAATGGATAATGTTAAAAAAATAACAAAATTTTCTTCTCTTTAACTATGAGTTAACCCAATTAGACAATAAATTTTTAGAATTAATTAAATTTATTAAT